GCAGACGACAACGATGTGAGGAAAACACAGCAGACATCTAAGCAGGAATCTACCGTCAGGAGCTCAGATACGCCTGCGGGGCAGACGACAACGATGTGAGGAAAACACAGCAGACATCTAAGCAGGAATCTACCGTCAGGAGCTCAGATACGCCTGCAGGGCAGACGACAACGATGTGAAGAAACACAGCAGACGTCTAAGCAGGAATCTACCGTCAGGAGCTCAGATACGCCTGCAGGGCAGACGACAACGATGTGAAGAAACACAGCAGACGTCTAAGCAGGAATCTACCGTCAGGAGCTCAGATACGCCTGCGAGGCAGACGACGACGATGTGAGGAAAACACAGCAGATGACTAAGCAAGAATCTAACGACGTCAGGAATCTAAAGCAGGCTGAAAGTGAAGGTTGTTCTGGGTCTAATGAGAAATGTTGGGGCATCATGGCAAGGACAACGATGCAAGAACAAACAGCAGACGTCTAAGCAAGAACCTAACATCAGGAATCTAAAGCAGGCTGGGAGTGAGGGTTGTTCTGGGTCTAATGAGAGAGTTGTGGCATCACAACAAGGATGATTGCCACAAAGGCAAAACATTTCGCTTTGAAGGGAGAAGGAGGAAAGCCTGTTTATAGCCATTTCATTTATATCAATACGTTTTATATTGGACAGGGATAGATGAAAACTAGATCTGATGTAGTAGATGATAAGTGTGGAAGACTCGCAGGCAATAGCAGCAAGCTAGCTACAAATCAGGTTTGCAAATAGAAGCAATTGCACGTGCATAGTTGTAACAATGTCATAATAATAGCTGCCTAAACTTTTTAGGGAAAACAAAAGAAACTCCCGTACCTCCTGCGTTGCACTGGTGCTGTCGAGTTGCTTGGCATCTCTGAGTATCTGCTGCTGCTTGAGCAACTCCTGAATACGCTCGGCCTTTTCCTTCCAGTCCTTGTCCAGTTTCGTCTTAGCATCGAGTGTCTGCTTTGCCCTTGCTGTGATCTGTGAACATAAGATAAAAATGTGAATCTCCATGATGATCACATGCTGAATGTACTATGATGCTCACTGATGCAGGTGTTAATCCCATAATAATACATGGGCACATGCGTACCTTCTACTATATACGAAACAATCAAAATTCAACCTAATTGCGGTTAAAAGTACAATGTAAAATACTCTACGTGTGTATGAGCTATGGTCATCAATCATGAAAGGGACCAAGGACCAACCCCCTTACCTCCTGGCTGATCCCCAGTAAGAAAGTGCCAATCCCATTCCCCTCAGTTTTCATTTTCAAATAACTGCTTCAATGGTTTTGTGCTTAGCATCACAGAGAATCCAAAACGCAACACTTAACTGCAGGTTTGCCGTACCATGCTACTGCCGCGCAGCTATTAATTAATATTAATCTTAATAATAATATTAACCTAATAATAATATTAATCTTAATAATAAATTAATATTAAAAATTGAAGAATAAAATAATATTTATCTTAATAATAACAATAATCTTATTAATAATATTAATCTTAATAATAACATTAATGCTTATGAATAATATGTAATCTATTAATAATATTAATCTTAATAATAAATAATAATATTTATATATCAATTAAAATATAATGCCCGGGCCGCCTCCGCATGGCCAGCACTCACCTCATCGCCCGCGTAATGGCCGCCGTCCTTCATCATCTTCGCGGCCTGCATGACGGTTGCGAACGCCTCGTCGCGCGCGTCGATCTCCGCCTTCAGCTCGTCGTGGTTCTTCTTCATCGCCTGCACGCCGGCGAGGTCGCGCGCCGGCTGCTCGGCCGCCATCGCCGTCTGCGTCTCGTTCGCCCAGCTCGTGAGGTCGCGCGCCTGTGTCAAGGTCACATACAGTTATAGTTACAGTAAGAGGTACACTTATAGTTACAGTTACAGTAATCGGGTTACAGCGATTTATAGTTATTCTCCTCGTTCGGCACGGAGTCCAGCTCGTGAGGTTCACGCAGTCGCCCTGGTCAAGGCACAATCAGTTATAGTTACAGTAAGAGTACACTCTATAGGTTACAGTTACCAGTAAAGGAGGTACTCTGTATATTAACAGTTACCAGTAATGTTTACAGTTAGAGTTATATTCTCGTTCGCGCTAGCTCGTGAGTCACTGCTGGCGCGAGAGTCAGCCAGAGTTATAGTAGAGTAGAGTTATCCGCTATAGTTGCAGCTATAGTTAAAGTTATAGTTATCAGTAACAGTTCCTGCGCACTGCTGTCTTATTTAGGGCGCAAGCGAGCACACACGTTATAACAATTTTCAAAGTTTACGTACAAACTATTGAAGGATAGTATATATAATATATATATATATATATATGAATGGTATATGAGAAGTGACACAATGCACATATCTGTACGTGCGTGCGCGGGTGTGTGTTAGTAATTTACCGCGTTAGTAATGTGTGTTAGTAATTTACGTTGGCCATGAAGCGATGGAGGTCGCAGGACATCTGCAGCTCCTCGCGCCGCTGTCCGGCCCTCTCCTGCAGGTTTGTTCCAGTTCTCAACAACGATCGCCTGTTGCTGCTTAATGTCGTCTGCATTGCCACCTGCACATACCACACGAGTGAGCACGGGCACAACAGCGGGGTATAGATACACAGGAATCAATAATGTTTACTCATTAATTATAGTCAACGTTGTAATATAATTAAGAAAGATGAAAACAGAATCCTTATTGGGTAAAAACAACGCACGACACCTCACGTGACCACACAGTGCGGCAATAAACAGGAATCAAATATATTTATCAGTTTATCTCATTAGTTACAATCAACGTGGTAACGTGAATAACGAGATAAAAAAATTGGTACTCATGACAAAAATGACATACGCCTTATCAGGTAAAAAAATAATTGCCAAACATCGTACGTGAATTGGGAATTTAGTGCCTAGCCAATCTGTCGCATAGCACTGGGGTTAGCATGAGCATCCGATATTAAATCATGCTACCTGTACGCATAACTAATTGGTGACTAAAATGCCTGACGAGCGGTCCACACGCACCTGATGTTGGGCGCAGAGACGCCCGCTGTCATCCAGTAGCACCTGCAGCTGACCTTCAAGTGCTACAAGGTCATTCTCGAAGGCCTCGTGCTTGCGTAACAGACTCTGTACACCGTTGAGGTCACGCCCAAGGTCGTCCGGAATGCTCGCGTATTTCTCCTGCAAGACGCCCGCCCCAATTTACTACATAAACAACTTGACACACACATATATATATATATATATATATATATATATATATAGTATATATATATATTGTAATATTAATAACTCTTAGTGATTCAGGCACTTACTGACAGTACTTGGTAAGAAAAATATTTTATAGTAAAATTGTTACCAAGTTAATTGTAAAAATGGTGAACCAAAGTCGCATTATTGTCATTCGCCAAATTACCAGTAACTAGAAATTATTAATCATACTTAGTAATTATTGATCAGAAATTTTTAATTAGAAAATACCAGTTTTAATTAACACACTTACTTGTATCCTGGACAGCGAATCGCCAACGTCACGGTTGAAGCGATGTATCTCTCCTGCTGCCTGAAGCTTATTGTCTCGTTCCTCTGACGACTTAAGCAGGCTCTGCCAAGCTTCCCTGCAGAACATACATCATCATCATCATCATCATCATCATCATCATCATCATCATCATCATCATCATCATCATCAGTTTAATGTCCGTTTTCCCTTTCGGGGTTGGACAGTTTGATTCCTTCATGGAATGGCTTTTGGAGCAGAAGTTTTACAGCCGGATACCCTTCCTGACGCCAACTCCTTTTAGTCGCCTTCTACGACACACAGTGAGATACGTTAGGTACAGGGAGAACATACATGCATGCATATAATACAGACCTACAGGCCTGGGATAACGATTACCAGCGACTCATTGTGATGAGAATACAAATAGTTCCAGCTTATCCTGAGTGAAATATGCAATAACACACTATTATAATACAGTAGTACATTACGATGCCCAACCAGAGAGTATAAAATATGGCTATATAACTACGAGAATGTTTAATGTTCGTAATGTCCGAACCGGCAACCCAAATTCTGGTCACGGGGCAAACTTTGCAGTAAAACTGACACTTAGCACACACAGTTAAGTTGACACTCTTGGACATTGAAATAAAATTGGTTGGCAACACAGTTTAGCATTAATAACTGTATGGTTGTTAAGCATGGTGTGGTGGTGGTAGGTGAGTAGGTAGGTAGGTAGGTAGGTAGGTAGGTAGGTTAAGAAATGTTGTGTGGTGTGTGTAAGGTAGGTAAGGTAGGAAGATGTAAGTAAGGTAACAACATCATTGGCGTAGATGGCGCCACGTACTTGAGCTGCTGCTGTCGGTTCTTGATGTCGTCTGCGTGAGGGTTCTGGTGGTCGATAAGTCGCTCAGCCAGCTTCTGACACTGTGCGTACCGCTCACCCCCTGCTTCCACCTGTAGCTTGAACTCATCGTACTTGTTGTGCAACTCCTGATGTAAGCAACGAGGAAAACACAAAATCAGCCAATCGTGCAGGCACACTAGTCCACAGCAAAGCAGCCGGCAATGCATACGTAATCATATGAATACATGATATGTATCTATCTAGAAGACACGTGACTGCTTAGACTTGAGCTGCAAAGCAGTGCTATGGACATTCACAATAACTACACACACATTCTACAGTGTAAAAACGTAATAATATATCTTTAAAAAAAAGACACTCGTGTATCCTCGAATCGACCACCAAACCACACCAGACGGCAATGCAGGCCTTTGCCTGTAGGTCATAACAAATACTCCACACGTAACTCCCAACCCTCAATCTCTAGACCGTAGACACAGTCCTCGCTCTAAAGCCTACTGCAGCCAGGCGGTCAACACATGTCTTCATTAGGACAGGGCCCCGCTACTACGCTTGACAAACTTTCTCTATGTCGAGCCTGCCCGCCTGCACGTCTTCAAAGTTCTGGACATAGCCCTCACTCTAAACCCTGCTGCAGCCAGACAGACAACATACGTCCTTGTTAGAACAGGGCCCAACGAACTTTCTCTATGTCGAGCTTGCCTCCCTGTACATGTTTAAAGTCCTGGACCTAATCCTTGCTCTAAGCCTGCTGTGGCCAGTCTGCACAGGCAGACAAATAGGGCCCAACTAACTTTCTCTATGTCGAGCCTGCCTACCTGTACGTGTTTAAAGTCCTGGACCTAATCCTTGCTCTAAGCCTGCTGTGGCCAGTCTGCACAGGCAGACAAATAGGGCCCAACTAACTTTCTCTATGTCGAGCCTGCCCACCTGCACGTGTTCAAAGTCCTAGACATAGTCTTCACTCTAAAGCCTACTGCAGCTACGCGGATAACCCACGTTCTTGTTAGGACAAGGCCCCGCCACCACGCTCGTCAAACTTTCTCTACATGTTCACGTTTACAGTTTTACAGTTTTCGCCTACCTGCACGTGTTCAAAGTCCTGTCCGTAGTCCTCGCTCTGTGCCTGCTGCAGTTTCTCGGCGATCCACTGCTCAAAGTCCTCGCTCTCGCGCACGTACTCAAACAGGTCTCTAGCGTCCTCCAGGCGGCGCTTGCGAGCCGTCGCCATCTTCTTCAGGTTGTTCAAATGCGCCTCCATCTGTTGCTGCAAAGTCAATGCGAGAGAATCACGTCAAGAGGATTTGCTGTAGAGGATTTGCCTGGATTTACCGGCATTAATTAATATTATTATTTTATTTTTAATTTATTTTA